TAATATATACTATATCTCACTTACATGTGTAAGCAATTCAAAGTTGTTAAATGAAAAACAAGAATAATGATGTTTTTTACACAATCAAATTGATATTGGTATTTGTTTATTACTGACTTTTAAATTAAACTAAGTAATAACAATTTAATTACACACAAGTTATAATTAATTGTAATGGAATTAAACACAAAAGACAATTTATATCCCACAAAAAATCAATTTAACAGTTAAGTTTTGGTAATGATGGTTCATGGACTTTGTTTAAATTATTGAAAAAGTTTTTGTATTGGTTATTTTGTTGTGTGAATAATTAAAATAAATTTTATTGGTTTTATACATAAAGATTAAAATATATCAATAAAAATTGCTTAAAAACTAAACAAAATAACGCGAAGAAACATTTTTAAGCTTGGCTATAAGGAATAACCGAGTTACGTTTTTTCAAAAAGAAAACAACACCCACAACGACTGCTATAGCAACAACTGCAACAACAACTATAACAGCAATGATAATACCAACAATCATACCAGCCTTGTTTGACTTTTTGTCCTCTGTAAGACTTCCATTTTGCACAGAATAGTCTCCACTTTCATTCTCTTTGTACATTCCGTTAATAGTTGATCGAATAAGAATGATATTTTTGAACGATGTTGCTTTATCTCCACCTTGCAAATTCACAACTGAATCGACAAATTTGACGTTTTCGAATTTGTTTTCATTGGAAACTTCAACTTCGATGTTTGCTTTCTCGACTACAGAATTTGTCATTTCAAATTTTTCCAATTTTTGTGTCTTCGAAGTGATGTTGCTGATATAAACGTTGTCAAGTTTTGAGTTTTCAATGCTCGACTGACTAATCACTGTATTAGACAAGTCACCATTTTTAAAAGTCACCCCACTAATTTCGCACTTGAAAAAAACGTTTTCAGTCAGTTTGTTAGTCTTCTGTGAACCATCGAGGGTTACTTTTTCGATTTTGGAGTTTGAGAAGAGGTTACTATCAACGGTCGTGTCTTTAATGGTCAATTCATCAATTTCACCATCAAAGAAATCATTGACCATGACATTCCCATTTTCAAAAGTGTTATCGCTGAACTTCATATTTTTGAATTTGCTCTTGGTGATTTCAAAATTTGAAAATTTGGAGTCTTTGACTTTGCTGTCTTGTGACTTGCCCTCAACGAAACTGATTTTCGTAAATGTCCCGTCTTCAACTTCCATACCGATTTTTTCGGTTTTGTACATCACCAAGTTGTCCAAGTTATTCTTCTTAGAAATAAATGTGACAACTCCTTTATCAACACAATCAGGGTCTGTGACCATATTATTCACGTTCATGTAAGAAGAAAGGCAGTTGCACTGGACATTGTGGAAAGACGCGGCTGTTTGTATTTGGATCATTGTATCTGCACATTGTGGATATAATACTCGTTCTTGTGAGGTGACACTTTTAATATCACCAGAACAGTCAATCAGAACAGTGTTCTGTGTTGCCAACGCTAAAGCTGTGAAGAGAAACAAAAGCATTTTAATTATAAAGATGTAAATTGGTTTTTATAGGGAAATTCATTCAAAAGGAGTAACAACCAAAACATCCTTGAAACGGATTCTTCAGCCAGATTATGTAAAAAAATAAGGCAAATGAGAGGGAAATTTAAACAAGGTTTTGTGTTCATTCATATTTTTTTGGTTAATTGTCCATTTATAAGTAAGTGTATTTATAGTTTGATCGACTTGTAATTCATTTAAATAAATGATTTTACACCCAATAAATCAATTGTAAGTTAATGATATATTCTTTTGCATATTTTATAAGGATGTTTTCGGGTTTTATTTTTATTTTGCAAATAACAACATATATAAGTTTTGGTCTTGAATTTATGAATTAACCTACAAAAAAAAAGTATTATTAGAACAGAAAGTAGATGTATCAAAAATGAAAGGCAATAACGTTTAAATGGTATTATTATATCCAAAAACAAAAGAAAAATGGTTTTAATAAGAGAAAAACTGTGACATTCAAAACTGTTTTTTTGTTTTTTTTTCATTTTTCATAATATAAACCATTTAATAATTAATACTATAATATGGCTTTTGTCTTTAATGTCGAAATGTTATAATTAAATGGCACTCAAAAATTAAAAAAACATAACTTTCTGTTCTATTTTTGTTGTTGAAACGATCTTAAAACATAAAAACATTAATATAAAAAAATAACTTTTAAAGTTATTTAAAAAAAAATAATACAGATGCAAGAAAAAGTGGTTGTCATAGAAAAAGTAGTTGTCAAGAGTATAAAAAAGTATTTTTATTAATTTATTTTTAATAATTATAAATTGTTAGTTGTTTAACAAGCAAAATTACGGGAAAGCAGTGGTGATTTGGATTGATTTTTCAGAAAGTGGTTGTCAAAAGGATGAAAAAAATAAAAAAGACTATTTTTATATAAAAAACAGAAAAAGCACAAAAATATTTTACTCATCTTCAAAATCAAAATTGACTGCACCTTGTCGTCTCGATATAAAATGAATTGATGTGGGGGATGTGCAATTTATTATGAATAAGTTGGGGATGCGTAAATCAAACAAGCAAAAATCACGATTATCAGGTTTGTATATTAATAACGTTGAAAACGAATAATTAATCAATAGACATTCATTAATAAACAATATGTAATATGACGTTATATTACAAATATGACATTTCATAATGAAAACTGTTATAGTGTTCAAATTAACCAAACGTTTTGTGCTGATTATTGTTTTCATTGTCTTTATCTCCTACTGTAGTAAGGTTCATAAAAAAAAACAAATATACTTCATTTAATAAGTCTTTTCCAAATACATAATTTTTATTATTGTTAAAAGTTTAAAATATTAACATTATTAACATTTGTTTAATACTTTATAAAAACATAAAACAAATTAGTTAATATTTATTATTTCATTTGATAATTGACTTACTCAGTACACTGGGAAAATTTTTGAAAAAAAATCGATTTTTTTTGCTTTTAATAACATTATTTTCATGACAACCACTTTTTCTATGACAACCAATAATTCTTCTATCTGTAGTTATTTCATAATTTACAGATGATTTTTTCATTTTTCAAAGCAAAAAAAGACACACATGTTTTTATATAGAAATGACTAAACAAAATAAATATTTCATTTCATTGTTATTATCGATATAATATTAATTATTATAATTAATACATATAATAACTCAAAATGGAATATGGTGTTTTATTGTATCGACAGAATCGATAGATCCAAATTTTTATATATGCATTTTTTTGTTTAAAGTTCAAATGTTGTTATTTGAACTTTTTAAATGTTTTGAAAGAAAATAATAAATTAGTTTCAGTAAAAAGAACATTGAAAAGTTTTTTTAATTGTTTTATTAATTTTTTTACTAGTAAATATAAAGAAAAAAAATACAATTTGTTTTTGAAAAAGAAAGTTTTTGTTTATGAAAGAATGAGTAAATGATTTAATTAAATTTTAAATATCAAATATAAAAAATATAACAACTTAGACAGTTGTTATATTTTTTATATTTAAATTTTTTTTAATTTGTTTTAATTATTTAATGTTATAATTGTTTTTAATAAAAATTTAAGTAAAAAGGCATTTATTAAATGGTTTTATATTGAAAACTCAACTGTGAATATAATTAAAAAAAATGTTAAAACCTTCTAAATTAAAAATAATTAAAAGTAGTATTTGTATAACATTGAATTAGTTGTCAGCCAACACATAATTATAAGGGTTTGATCTGTTTGGATTCTTTCTTCCAAAATAAATGAACATAATAACACCGATAATGACCGAAATAACAACTAACAATGCCACCACTACACTAACAACAGTAATGACAATCTTGTGGTTATTACTTTCATTTCCATTACTTTCGCTTTCACTCGGGACATTATCTGTAATGCCAAATTGATCTGTCGTGAAGTCACCAGTCTTCTCCTCCATGAAAATACCATTTACCGACGAATTAATAAATTTGGTGTTTCTGAAAATCGACTTACTATCTTTGTCCAAGTTCAAAACACAATTCTCGAATGTTGTATTTTTAATTTCGAAATGATCATGTACAACCACAGTAAAATGTGAATAGACAACATGTGTGTTTTCAATAGTAACAGTATAGAAATTGCTGTTAAATATTGTCATGTTTGTTATCTGAGACTCTTTTACTTTGAATTTGATGAAAACTCCTTTGTACAAATAGAAATCAGTCAGTTTCGCTCTTTCAAATTTGAAATCATCGAAAATGTTTTCAAGAAAAGTGACTCCTTGAAACAAAGTCTCTCCTTCCTTTGAACCCTTTTCATCGATTTTACTTCTCATCATTTCATTATCCTTTGTCATTCCTTTATTCCCTCTTCCGTGTTTATCACTCCCTTTAATTTCGACACTCACAAAACTCCCACCATTAAACATGGAATTCATCACTTTTGTGCCACTCTCAAAATCAGCTTCATACACTGAGCAGTTCAAAAAGTCGAGCCCGTTCGACACAAACTTTTTGAAATCGGTTTTAGTAAAAAACGAATTGGCCACAACGGACAAATCAACAACAAGCTTTGAAAATTCGGTTTTTTTGAATGAGCCCTGCTCTATTTTCGAATAAGCCACATACGCACTCTCTACTTTACACTCTTCCATTTTCATATCTTTCTTCTCAACATTGGTGATGTTTTGGTGATTCAAATTCGCATTTTTAAAGATGAAGTTTTCCACGCCCTTGTCTTCGCAATGTTTGTAATACAACAATTCATTTTGGTCAACATAAAGTGATGTATTGTTACAAACAACATGGTGATACACCTTAGTGTTATTAACTGGTGTTACATAATCCGTACAATTTGGGTAGAAAGGTCTGTCTAGTCTGCTAATGTTTACAATTTTCCCGTCACAATTAATTGTTACTGTCTCATTAGGACGAATAGGGTACACGTCCACGCAATTGTTAAATTGATTTCTGTCTTCTTTAGTCACATTAAATATAGTTCCATTACAATTGATAGTAACATTTGCTTGGTAAGGTATTATGTATTCCGTGCACGTATAATACTCGTCCACCCTTTTTGTTTTTGTTGTGTTATAACCTGTTCCGTTACAATTAACTATAGTGTATATGTTATCATCTTTCATGTAATCTGAGCATGTGGGGTATTTCATTCTATCTGACGCCAAGATGTTCGTCAAGGTGCCGTTACATGATATCAAAATGTGATAAGTGGAATTGATTGGATAGCAATTCACAAATTCGTTCATCTGATCGTAACTCGCATTGATCTTGAGACCTTCACAATTGAGAGTGATATTGGCGTTAACACCGGGGATGAAGTCTTTACACCAAATAAGGTTGTATCTTATTTGTGTTGTTACGTTATATATATAATTGTTGCAGTTCACCACAATGTATGTATTGTTGCTTGGTATAAACTCTGTGCAATTCTCATAATGGGGTTGCTCAGTTTGAGTCACATTGACTAACGTTCCATCGCAATCGACAGTGATTACCTTTTCAGTCTCCACTTCTGCACAATTAATCAATTCCTCCTCTTGTTTTTCTGAAGCTTGTATGATAATACCCGAACAGTTTAACGTGACATCGGCCAACAAGTCTGGGACATAATTGACACATTCCATATAATAAATTCTCTGCTTCGATGTCATATTCATTATTGTTCCATTGCAATTGATGATTATAAATGATGTGTCATTATACATATAGTTGGTGCAATCGGGGTAGTTTTGTCTATCTTCAACAGTAACATTGATAATTGTTATATCGCATTGTATGATAATATACTCATTCGTAAACTCTTTACAATTCTTATAATGTTCAATGTCGTCTTTTATCGTTTCAATGATGATACCTCCTGTACATTTCATTGTGACATTTGCGTCGTCTACCTTTAAGAAATCGACACAATTGGTGTAATTGTCTCTTTGTTCTGTGGTCACGTTATAAATATATCCATTACAATCTATGATGACAAAAGTCAATTTGCTTGAATTGTAGTCAGTACAGTCTTCATACAGATACCTCTCTTCTTCAGCCACATTTACCAAAGTCCCATTACATACAATAGTTACTACTTTCGTATTATTTTTGACTTCGATGCAATTCTTCAATGTCGCATTTTGTTCGTGGTTTGCTTTGACCACAACCCCACTGCAATTCAATAGGATGGTTCCATTTCCGTCTAACTTGAAGTCGACACACAAATCAGAAATTAGTCGCTGTTCTGTGGTCATGTTGAGAAGTTCGTTATCACAAACAACGAGAATATACGTATCATTGCTCCACGTGTATTTTTCACATTCTTCATAGTTCGGAAGTTCTTCTCCAGTAACATTCACAATAGTTCCATTACAGTCGAGTGGTATGACATCTCCTTGTGTTTTATCCGTTTTTGCATGTTGTGGAATTGTTCTTCCCATCACAACCAAAATCAGCAACCCAATAATCAACACTAACATCTGGTATTTAGTGTTTAATATGTTTTTTTTAATTGTTTAAACTAAACGAAGCTTTTCCTTTAAATTTTTTTTAACTAAATTATTATTAATATTTATATTAGTTAATTTAGTTTGAGTCTTTTTTTTCAATAAAAAAATAATTTATTTTTTAATTAAAACTAGTTAAACAATGAAATTGAAATTGAAATAATAAAACAATAATTGTTTGAACTAGATTATATAATATATTAATTAATAAATCAACAATCTTTAATTGCTGAACTTTCAGGTATTTAAAATATCTAATAAAGTTGTAATAATAAACAATTATAACAATCACTTACACAACAAAAAGTCGGACAACACGTCCAACACATTGACGAGCGACTCAACCTCCAAGTTCTGAATATACTGCACCGCCTCTGGGTTTTCCATCATTTTAAGTAACCTGTTACACGCCTCCTCTGTCATCGCAGACTTCTTTTTAATAATTTCAAGCGCCTCATCCACTCCATCTTTATTTAAATCGCCAATGTCACTCCTGTCGGGCAACTCAGCAAATGGATTTGACATTCCAATACTTTCCATCACAACATTATAATGTTCCATTACAAAGCCACTGAATTCTATTTGGTTACACGTCGCATTCACTGCATTTACACCACCTTTGGGGTGTGACACGAGTGGACCCAATATCATCGCAAAGTTCTTCGACGTCATTAAGTGTATTTTCTGGTACTTCACAAGGCGTCTCGCAAGTCCATACAAGATGCAGAAGCACACAGCATCATCATTCGGAGTCTTCTTAAAAATTTCTACAACATATTTCAATCGATCCTTCCCATGTCCAGAGATGTTTCTTATCGCGTCATACTCAATCAATCCATCAGTAAACTCTCTAATGTACGTTTTTAATGTTCCCACAACGTTGTGCACATCGCACCCAATCCGCCGCATTTGCGATAGAAACGACATGTCACAGTCAACCAACCTCTCAGCCTTCTTTTTCGCAAATTCTAAATTAGAAGTCACTCGAAAGATGCCTTCGATTAAATATCCATATGTGTATATCCACCAACATAAGTTGTAAACCACTTGTGGTATAGCTTTACGCGGTAAATTACTTTTGATGTCCATTGGGTAGACTATGTGTAAGTTCCATTTGTTTTTAATTATAACAATAATATTATTATAATTAATAATAATATAGAACAATAGTAATAATTATAGTAATAATCATAGTAATAATTGATACAAACTTCTTTGTACAGAAAAAGGTCGTGATTCATAACACACATACAAACACGTTGTACGTGACATCAACACCCCCCTGAATGTCATATTCCTCGAAACAACCTTTCCTGTGTGGTTTCTAAAGACCAATTTATCAACATTGATGACCTCCTTCGAATTCCCTTTAAAATACTTTTCACACGCTTCAAAGATAGTGATGCTAAGAGGCTCCTATCCATCAGAACTATTTCAGAACAACAAAGTAACAAACTTTTATTGTTGTGACTATATGTGTCGTCAGACATTGGATGTCCAAAAGTACTTCACACCTTTTCTCGACGTCTTCCGCCATAATAAGTTTCTGTCGCTTCTCCTCCAACTTGAAGACCGTCTTTAAGTCCTTTTCGTTTAAAATGTCGGGTGAGCACTCGTCCATAGCAATTAAAGAAATATCGCGTTTCTCCTCGTTATGGTTTTTGGAGATGTAAGACATCCTCCTCTCATTTTTCTTCACATCTTTTCTCGCGATTCTTTTCTGTGGCCGTCGGATCTCTTTCTTTGCTTCAATTTTGTCGTCGCGTTCTTTTTGTTTTTCTTTTGACTTTTCCTTTTGTGCGTCATTTTCTGTATTTTCAAAAGGCATTTCGTTGGAGGTTTTTGTCTCTTTTTCATTGTTTTCGGTGGGACTTTTTGTTGTGATTTTTTTGGTCGGGGACTTTGGGGTTTCGGGAATAACTTGTTTGACTTTTCCGATGCCTGGGGATACTTTAGGAGATACTGTAGATGACGTGTATATGATGAGTGGGTCTTGTTTGTCTGAAGTGTTTAACAGGTCACATGCTTTTGTTGTTTTTTTTGGTAAAATGTCGGTGTCTTCCTTTGCAAAAACTGTTTTTCGGCGAAACCTTTCGCCGTTTGTGTATTGCGGAATGTCTTTGTCTTCATTTGAAATTGTCCGACTTGGTGTAGTCAAAGTGGTATCTGCAATATATGAAAGTCGGCGTTTGCTAATGTCCTGGTGCTCGTGAGAGCCTTTCATCAGAAGATCCCTTCTAACACGGCTTGGGCGTGATACATTATTCTCCCTTGCGTTGCTCATGGAAAATGATAAAAAATAGTTTTCTGTGGGGAGGAGTGGGGTTGGCCATTACTACATTTTTTTTCCTGTTTTTGTTTTATTTCCTTTTGTTCGGTGGTTTGTCATTTTTTGCACAGAAAACATGGAATTGGAGATTTTTTGTTTGGTCTATTTAAAACAAACACTTTTGGGACTTTGAATTGTTCAAAAATATATTCCCTTCACAACGCTTTTTGAGTTCTATCAATATACTGAGCAATTTATTCCTTGTGGTATATACTGGTAAAAATGTGGTGAAAGAACACGATATTTATGGCAAACTCGTTATTTTGGGAAGTGTTAAATTATTGGCGGTCATTTAGATGTGAACTGATAATTGATTATCAATTCTTTGTGTAAAATAATGTGTTTGAAAAGGTTCAGAATTTAAACTCGAAGTATTAACTTGAAACAATCTAAAAAAGTTGGATAAAATAAATGATAAATATGTATTTCGTAATCAGTAATTATCATATCATAGATATTAATAAATGAATACTTTGCCTTATTCAGATTTTTAATAAAATAATAATTATTTGAAACTATTTATATGGTTTAATAATTATAAAAATTGGGTGTTTAATTAAATATACATATTGGACTTGTTTGTTTGGTGTTTATATTTCTGTTGAAAAATGTTTTTGGTGCGAGAAGTGTTAAACCAATTTCTTTAATAATTATAATAAGTTTTTACTATAAAATAATCACATGTATTTAGATACCAGAAATATTAAATAAAATATAATAGATTTATTTATATCTTCAATTACAAATTCAAATGGTAATTATAATTAAAAAAAATATTATTTGAATCAATATGTTATTTATTTTATAATAATAATTATAATAATAACAAATGAATTATAACTTACTATCCAAATATTGTTTTTTTAAATTCATTAATAATTAATGATAATAATATTATATTTTATTAAAAAAACATATAAATAAATAATTAATTTTTTACATTCAAAAAGTGAAAATATGTTGTATTTTCAAAATACAATTTCAATTTCAAAAAAATTTCAACACCAATTATTTTATAAGTCAACTTATTTAACTTATAAACAATTCAAATAGTAAAGAAGTAAAAACAATTAAATAAAAAGTACTATATTATTAATTATTAAAAAAAACATGGAATAACTCTTTTTATTAGTAAAAACTAAAAAACAAAGAGAAACAAAATGGCCTTTGTTTCTTTTCTTTTCTCGTTTTTTCTCTGTGTGAACAGCACAAACGAGAATGGGTGTTACTGTATAGATTATGGGGTTAATACCTGTGATATTTGTAACAATGGGTGTTATTTAAATTTAGTCGACTGTCAAAGTTTGTGAAAAATAACATCACCGTCATATTTTTATTTTTCATACGAATGTGTTGTCAAAAGTCAACAAAAATATTCACATATAGAGTGCCCAATAAATTGTACATTTTGCACCTCCAAAACGACATGCACTCAGTGTAAATCGGGGATGTTTTGGAATGGTACGGCATGTATGCGTTTGTTTTTGCATTGCGCTCATTCAATTTAACCAAAGACAAATTCTACAGTAATAATTTTTTATTAGTTAACAATTATATATATAAACAAAAACAATTCATTTGTGTTATTCATATTGTGCAGTTATAAGTATGTCCAATAAATTGACAAATAGCATGTGATTTTGAGTGCAAAGAATGTTCTTCATATAGTGTTTGCACTTCTTGTAAATTTGGGTATTACTTAGAGAATACACAGTGCTATAGTTGTCGAGAAGGGTGTGAGCAGTGTGACAATTCAACACATTGCACGACATGTGATTCCCTTCAAGACTTGGTATTACATGATGGGATGTGTGTGTATTGTTCGTCTGTGATTCCTCGTTGTGTTTCGTGTAAAGGTAAAAAATGCATTTTATGTGAAATGGGGTATTTTGCGTCTGAAAATGGCGAGTGTATTCAGTGTGATAGATTATGTGGGAAAAGTGGGTGTGATATCAATGGGTGTATTGATTGTGCAAACAATTTCATTTTGAGTATTGACAATCGTTGCACTCTTCCTGTCGAGGCGCATTGTATTGAATATGACCGCAGTTGGTGTACTTCATGCGCGACTTCATATCATTTAATTGATGGAAAGTGCTTTCCAGATGTTTCATGTGATTCAAGCACTTCGATTCGATATGATAATGGCTGTGTTTCACAAAAAGTTTCAAATTGTCAAATTATTGATTTGAGAAATCAAGTGTGTCAAGTGTGCAAACCCGGGTATAGTTTGCATTCAACCATTTGTGTTGAAAATCACTCTCAAATTCCACATTGTGTTCGCCTCAAATTTTTCATCGATTCGTACATTTGCTCTGTGTGTGAATATCCATATTATCCATTCAATGAAAAATGTCTTCCCGTCGATAATTTATTTGGGTGTGTCGAGCCGTTCAATGTGATGAATGTGTACGAAGGTTCAACATCGCGATGTATGAAATGTATTGAAGGAATTCAAAGTGTTAATTATCATTGCTTTTTCTCACCATATTGCATATCATACAAGAGCGATCGTTGTGTTTTGTGTATTGATGACTTTTTGTTGGTTGACGGAGTGTGTGTTTCGTGTAAAGCAATACATTGCATCAGCTCAAAGAACGACAAATGCACGTTATGTGAAGATGGTTACCACTTGAATGAAAATTTTCTTTGTAATTACAATGATATGAAACCACACTGTGAGCAGTACAAAGACAATTTAGACTGTTGCGTGATGTGCAAAGATACTTATTTATTGAGTAATTGTTCGTGTATAAATTGTACCATAAAACACTGCAAAAGATGTTCCACAACAAATAACTCATGTGATGTGTGTTATCCTTCATATTATAGTAAAGAAGATGGTTGTGTTGAATGTTCTATTTTTGGTGAGGGGTGTGATATCTGTAATGAGTCTGGGTGTTTGTCGTGTAAAAGTGGAATGTATTTGAGCACTCACAACAACGTCACTTTTTGTTCCAATTGTTCTGAAAACAGCGCGTTTTGCGTTTCATGCACGTATGAAGGGTCATGTCAAGTATGTGACAAAGGTACTGTTCTTGTGAATAAGACGTGTCTTTTGTGTAATGAAACAATTCCGTCGTGCCAAACGTGTCAAGGTGGGTTTTGTACCTTATGTGAAATAGGGTTTTACAGAGACAACACAAAGTGTGATTCCTGTGAATTAATCGATCACTGTGAAATGTGTGCAAACGAAGGCTTGGTTTGTACAAAGTGCCAAAGTGATCACATTTTAAATGTAGAAACTAACGTTTGTGAGCGGTGTGTTGATTACTTTGACAATTGTGTCGAATGTGATGAAAATAACACGAGTTGTGTATTATGTGAAAACAACCAAATACCTTTTGATAACAAATGTGACAGCGCATCAAGTTCAACACCCAACTGCTCGAGGTCAGTTGGAGATTTTTGTGTATTGTGCGTACATGGGTTTGTATTACGCAATGGAACATGTTACAAATATCACAAATCGCATTGTATGAGATATTCATCTTTTTTTGATTATGGATGTTATGAGTGCGATACATCAATTCCATTCAACGGAATTTGTGCGAATTATACAAGAAATGAAACGTGTTACTTTTACTTAGAAAACAATAATTCCAATTTTGAGTGTCTGTTTCCCACAAACATATTGGTTACACTTCAGTGCGCTCCAAACCAATATTTGACACAAACAAACCCTCCATTCTGCGAATTTTGTAGTTTGAATTGTGCACTATGTGTTGACAAAGAAACTTGTTTGAAGTGTGAGTATGGCTATTTAATCAATAACGGGAAATGTGAACCTCAACAGAATTGTAACGTTACAGATGTTAGTTATTGTTCGCAATGTAACGATGGGTATTACTGGAATGGTTCAACTTCAAAATGTTCTCCTTGTCTAATACAACATTGTAAGACTTGTGACACCTCATCATCATGTCTGTTGTGTTTCAGTGACTATTTAAACACAAGTCTTCTCTGTGAATTCCAACAAATGTTACACTGTGCTCTTCAAATCAACGGGTTTTGTATTTCGTGTGAAGCTGGGTACTTCTTAGAGAACTTAGTTTGCGTTCGAAACACTATTGAAAATTGCCTTCTTCAATTTCGGTCGACCCTTTGTTTGTTATGTAATAACAACACAAATTTGGTTTCGTCGTATATTGGCGACACAACGTGCTCAAAAGAAAAGAACATCCACTGCTTGTTGGAGTCTCCTAGTGGATGTCTCCGATGTGAAGATGGCTACTTTCTCTTATCAACGTGGTGCTTCCCGTGCCAACACAATTGCGACAAATGCTCTCAACAGAAAATTGGATGCGACAAGTGTTCCTTTGGCTTTTTGTGGAACAGCACAACGCAGAGTTGCACAACAGTTGCTTACTTCCAGGAGTCTTGCAAGTACTTTGCCAAGAATCGAGTGGGCTGTGCTATATGTCACTCGGGCTATTTTCTTCAAGATTTTCAGTGTGAGAAATGTGATGACTCTTGTCGTACTTGTAATGACAGTTCTGTCTATTGTAGTGACTGTAATGAGAACGGTGGGTATTTCCGAGCAGAAGATAATTCGTGTCAGAGTGTCGCCACCATCCTTCACTGCAATTCGACAAAGCAAAACTATTGTGAAGTGTGTGATTCCGGTTATTATAATTATGGCATTCGATGTCAACCGTGTCAAATTGGGTGCGAGTTGTGCACGAATAAGGACGAATGTATTGGGTGTATGGAACTTTATGTAATGAGAGAGACAAAGGAATGTGTGTTATACAGTGACATTAATCGATGTATCGGGTATAACGACAAAAAGTGTTCACAGTGTATGGACATGTATGTGCCAAATGCTGTTGGGGATGTCTGTGTCTATTCTTGGCAGTTCATAGCAATGGTAGGAACACCTTCTTTGACTTTTGCTGTTATCATCATCGCAATAATATTAGTGATAGTCTTTGTGTTTGTATGTTGTCACAAAAAGACGAACGACTATGAAGAATTTATCACAAGAGATATAGTCTTCTCTGTCAAGAAAGCTAAGATACCATTCACAAAGCTGTTATCAAGTAAAATGGAGACAAACAAGAAGTGTTTGGATTATTTGAATGAAGCACGAAAACCACTTTTAGTCAACGAACGAGCAAAGAACGAAGTCTATTTGGCTAATATGAAAAACACGACTGTTCAGATCAAGTTCCTTGGCATGAATAACGCCAATTTTGACATCCAAGTCGAACCACAATGTGTTGTGTTAAAAAAGATGCACGCCGTGAAAATGAAGGTTTCTATTAAACCGAATTGCACGTACTTTTTTAGGGGGCAACTTAAATTCTCACGACTTGATATGAAAAAGGGGAAATATAGCGAATTCAACATCCCCCTCTTATTCAAAACTGAAACCACAAACCGCATTTCCGCTGATGAGATCCAAGTGAGCGAGTGCATCGGGACAAGTATATTTGGGAAAACATTTAAAGTGAATTACCGCGGCGAGACTGCTGTTTTAAAGAAGGTTAATTACATCAAAGAAGAGACTTTAGAAGAGTTCCAACGTGTTGTGATTGAAGCGGATAAATGTGGGAGAGGAAAGTTTGTAGCAAGTTTCATTGGTGCAATATTCCAAACACACAAGATGGGTATATTACTTGAGTATAATGCCAATGGGAGTTTGAGTGACATATTAAAGAAAACAAAACCAACAAAAGACGTTTTAATAAGATTGGGGTATGACATTATAAGAGGGATATTCTACCTCCATTATAAAGGTATCATTCATTACGATATAAAGCCACAAAACGTGTTGATTTACTCATTAAACAAAATGTCAGACATTTGCGCTAAAATCACGGACTGCGGGATTAAAAAGTGCTTCAAATTGATTAACTTCAACACACTGCCTTTTAAGAACAATATTGGGATACAGTACATTGCACCTGAAATGTTTTATAAGCGCACCTGTACTCCAGCAGTTGACATGTTTGCGTTTGGCGTTTTAGTCTTTGAAATGTTCTGTGGAAACATTTCAAAGATGTTCAAGTCAAGTTGGGAAATCACAAAGTTCTTTTGTGAAGGAAAGAGATTGAAAAAGACAGAAGAAATCGAACAGTGGATTTATGACTTGGTCCAAGACTGCTGGAAACAGTCGCCAGAGGAAAGAACAAACGCACGTAACGTTGTATTACGTTTCCAAAGAAATGCAGATTGATTGTTTATACTGTATTATTATTAATAGTTTTATACTATAATATCAACTATAAAATAGACTGTTTTTCTGTAACAAATTTATGGTTAATTGTTATACTTTTTTACAATATTTCTTGTACTATATTATTTTATAAATTTACTAACATATTAATGGTATTAATAATAGAAAATTGTGCTTTTGATATTTTGTTCCAAAATGGTTAGCTTTAGATTTTTACAGTGTTGGTTTCAAAACATTTGTCCAATCCGCGCAAAATACTTGTGAATGTTTAAAACAGGGGAATTAAATAATGATGAAAATATTAAAAAATGTAATATTGATTTTGAAATGAATTTCCCGACATATTTCAGTTTTATTGGTTTAAATATAATAGAGAACAATTAAGGACTTACTTTAACATGAAACATTATCAAGCAATGGGTATGATAATACAAAATCAGTTTAAATGCCACAAGTGAAAAACAAGTAAATAATCATTATATTGACATTTGTTGTTGTTTTTATTTACATGAATTATTTATCGCAATCTTTTTTCAATTTAGAAAATGTTTTGAAAACAAATATAGAATAACTGATCATTTTCCTCGAACAAGAAAGTCCAAAAAATACATTTAAATTTAAAATTATAATTTTAAGAAAAACGATGAACAAATTATGATCATTTACTGTATTGTTTTCACCTTAAAAGTTAAGTGTTTTTTGAAAAAAAAAATACAGTAGAATATTTGAAAGTTTTGAAAGAAGTATTCTTTTACATTCTCTG